CCCCAAAACCCCAAAACCCCAAAACCCCACTACTATAATAATATGAAGAAATATATAAACTAAATATTCATAAATGAACACCCCGATTAAAGTACAACAGAAGGTCTTCGCCAAGAAGACTCCTAGGAAACACTCTGAGCCATTGGATGACTGGGATATTAGTGAAGATGTTCTCTCTGAGTCATTTATTATAGCTCCAAGGCCTAAAGGAGTAACAGAGAAGAAGATTGCCGGTTCCTTTGGAGTTAGTAAAGCATGCTCGGAACATGGAAGCTTTTGAACTACCCCCGCAGAGCCTTCTTATGAGTTGAAGAAGAATCTTCAGATTCCTCATTCAAAGTTTAGAAAATGCTCAATGAAGTCTGAGTCGGATGGTGAGTCATCTGAAGAGTGTCACATGAGCTTGCAATCAGAGATTAGTAGTTTACTACAGCAGCTAATCCAGAGAAAGAAAAAGAAGAACTCTGATATATCTCTCAATAGTAAGAGTGAGTCTACCCCATTCGTAATGAAGAAGAGCAACTTCCATCAGTGCAATCAAAATGACTCTTCAGAGAAAAGTGAGCATCAGGGTGAATAAGACTCCAGTTTGTATTAATAGAGATACTAGTACAAGACTCATCAATATTCTTTGACTCTAAATATGCTCAGATCTTAGTGAATTTTTCAAAGATAATTTCTCTAAGCAAACATTCTAGAAGTGTTTAAGAATCTTCATTTATACATAACATATTCACAAAACTTTCCAACTCTAATTTTTGAAAAACGGGAGAATTACATTTAGCTTATCCTACCAAACACAACTCTTTGTGAAAGTTTGATGAGGAAGCTCATCAAAGCAGAAATATTTAAGATAGAAGTAAGCTAGGAATACTCGATTCCAATAATAACTTTCAAATGCTCTGATACAGACTTTAGTGGCGCCAATGGCTCAGCCTTAATGTCTTCAAAACTTGATGTTCACACATAAAATTTTTACATCTCTATGAATCTTTTAGTCATCGAGCTGTCAAACTCTAATTTGGACGACTGGAGCTAGCCGATAACCTCATTTTTTCTTTCAAAAGCTTCAGCATCGATCACACAAATGACGAACACTGGTCGTCAAGACTAAGCCTGGAATATTATGAAGGTGCTATTGGAAGAGTAAGTCATAGGATTTGGATCATGCCTGAGGCTTCTCTACAGATCTCGTTAAGCATAGCTTATCAAAACTAGAAGGCGGATTTCTAAATAAAATACTATGATAAATTGTACAAGTCTTCCTGATATGTCTGAAGAATAGATGATGGAATTACATATCTGACACAGAACAAAGGAAAGCTTGATTCTGTGCTTGTTAATTATCACACATCGATATTTTTGATAGAGCACCAATCTTAAAGAATAATTTATTGCCTTGAAGTGATCAATCTCAAGGAATCAGTTGAGATAAAAATGAATCTCATCATCCTATCACAATAGAGAGGTAAATCGAAAATAAAATTAGGCTGAGTTTTCAATAGGGATTTCTTTCTTTGGGGTTTTGGGGTTTTGGGGTTTTGGGG